ACCAGTGCGGACCAGTGCAGACCAGTACAGACCAATATGGGCCAGTATGGTCCCGGAACGGACCAGTGCGGACCAGTACAGACCATTATGGGTGCGGTGTGGACCAGTATGGTCCTGGAACGGACCAGTGAGGACGAGCGCAGACCAGAACGGCTCCAGTAAGGGCTCAGTACAGACCAGTATGAGCCCAGTACAGCCCATCAACCCACCCAGAGCCCCCCCGGCACATCCAGAGCCCCCCGGACCCCCAAACACGTCTGGAGACCACCCGAACCCCACAGCCCCGGCCGGGCTGGGGACAGCGACAGGGATGTGGGGCAGGGGACAGCCCCCCGCCCTCCCCCTCCTGTTAATTACCATCCTTGCCCGGCGTTAATTATCGATCCGGCCGCTCATGTTAATTGGCTTGGGATTCAATTAGCGCTGCCCCCTCCAGCCCCCCCCAGCCCAGAATCGATCCCCGGCGCGGGGACAGCGGGGACAGCGCGGGGGGCACCCGCAGGGACCCCGCGGGGTGGGCCACCCTGGGGCTGGGTGCGGGGACAGGAGCGTGGGGGACACTTCGGGGGATGCCACCGCCCCTCCGGCCAGTCTGGGGCTCAGGGGTCGCACTGGGGAGGGGTCCCGGCTTGGGGTCCATGAGTGGCACCCAGAGCTCAGGTTCAAGGTCCAGAGCCACTGTGGGACCTAAATCTGGGGGGCGGGTGGGGGTCCACAATTGGGACCCAGGTTTGGGGTAAAACTTTGGATCCCAGGGTGGGGGTCCAAGGTCAGGGGGTCCCAGGGTTGGGGGTCCACAATTGGGACCCAGGTTTGGGGTCCAGCTTTGGGTCCCAGGGTTGGGGCCCAAGGGAGGGACCTGCAGCTGGGACCCAGGGTGGGGTCCCAGGGTGGGGTCCCAGGATGGGGTCCCAGGATGGGGTCCAGATTTGGGGTCCCCACTCGGCTCCAGGGGGATTTGGATGCTCTTTTTGGGGCTGTCCCCATCCCCCTCCACGCCCCCCATCCAGCCCCCCCACCCAGAGCCAGGACAGGGCCGGGGGTCCCAGGGCTGCACCCCCAGAGAGAAGCCCCCCATCAGTGCAGGGGGTCCTGGCCTTGCTCCGAGGGGATGGGGGGAGCTGACCCGGGGCGGGGGCTGACCCCAGCACAGAGGGAACCCCAAAAACCAGGACGCTTCACTACGTTTATTGGGCCTCTGCAGCTTTAAATACAGGCCAGGATTTGGGGGACTGGGGGGGCCGAGGCAGGGGCGGGGGGCTGAGGGTGCCCCTCTCCCCAGAGCACGGAGCCGCCCCCCCGGCTGCCCCCCGGGGCCGGGGTGGGCCGGGGGCGCCCGGGGCTTTGGGGGTCCCCCCGGCCCCCGGCCCTCAGCGGCTGTAGCCGAACTCGTCGGCGTCGTCCGCGCGGAAGTCGCCGTAGCGCCACAGGTTCAGCTGGGGGGGACACGGCGTCACGGGGGGCCCC